ATCATTTATAAATACCAAAATTAAAATTTTTTGTCAAAATTAAAAGATAATACATAATTAATTGGTACCGGTTTTTAATGAACTCTGTGAGAGTGCTAATCATTTCCACGCTTAATCGTCTCCCAAACCAAAACTAATTTCGTAAATCCAAAAATTATCTTTTTAATAAATTTTAAGATTTTATTAAAAATATAAAATTTTAATAGGTAGCTAATCACACTTAATTAAAAAAATTGATAACAACTCTATTTGTTTTTAAATTCGTTTAGCTATCCAAAAAATTGTTACAAAAATTTTAGTTGAAGAGTAAAAGAAAAATTTGTGTTTAGCAAATATATAAAATTTTTTTTTGGATAATCGTGCAAAACTCACATTTAAGAGTGTCATTATATAACTTTTTATTGTAATTATATGTTATATAATTATAATAAAAAAATTGAAAGTGAAATGGTCCGGAGTTTATTGTGCAAAATCTCTTGTTTATTCAATTCACGAGGAGGAAAAATCAAATGTCTCCATATTGAATGAACTACAAAAACATCCTTGCTTTGAGTTTCAAATTAAATATAAGAAGATTCACCGTGTTCTTAATTTAAGAAAATTCTAAAAGCAAAACTAATTTGTCTGATATTTATTGTTTAACACAATGTTGGACTTGACATAAACATAATCGTATAGCATGTACATAAATCGAATATGAGGATAATTACATAATGTCAAAAAATAAATATCACTTACTTCAATATATTTTAATGAATAATTTTTTTTTATGAAGTTCTTAATAGAATTAGCACTTACAAATTGTCAGTTAAAGGTTTTTTTTACATCGAGCTTATAATCTTTTTCAAATAATTTGTTTTTAAATCTCTAATTATCACTTTTTGATGCCATCAAAATTTTTTTTATCACTTTTCATGTGTTATTTTCGTGAATTAAGCTCCATTGATCATCAGTTCACAAAGAAAATTGCAAGAATTTCAAGTATGAATACAATTTTTTTTTTTTTTGCAGATTCTCTGTCACTCAAGGAAAAAAATTTTTAAATTTAACATTTGCAATCCATTTCTATATTTTTAGCCTCCTTTATCCTTAAAAAAAAGTATATTCTTAAATATCTAATTATCATATTTTAATTCTATAAAAAAGTTATCACTTTTTGATTTGTTATTTTCACAGTGAATTAAGATTCATTCATCATCTGTTCACAAAAGGAAATTAATGGCAAGAATTTCAAGTATGAATACAGTCTTTTTTTCACATATACTCTGTCATCAAGTAAGAAAATTTAAATTTTGGTAGTTATAGCTCTTTCATGTATCTTTAATCTCTTTTATATAAAAATAATATATTCTTAAAATCTTCTGTTTCGTGATCTAGTAATCACAAAAATCTTCAAGAAGAAATAAAGGCTTGGTTTCGTACCAAGTCTCCCCTCTCTCCCTTTGTAATAGGGTTTTGCCCACATTGAAACCAAATATATATATATATATATATTCTCTTAAATATCTAGTTATTATATTTTAATCCCACAAAAAATTATCATTTTTTTATGTGGTAGTTTTACAATGAATTAAGCTGCATCGGTCATCAGCTCACAAAAGGAAATGGTAAGAAATTCAAGTGTGAATACAATTTTTTTTGCTTTTTTGTTTGTCTCATCCGGTCTGAAGACTTGACTTCCCAAAGAATACTCCTAGACTCCCAGTGGCTAAGCAATTAAAAGTAATATGAATTCAAGAATATTCCCTTAGCATTACTTTTGCATCTTTACTAATTTTAAAATTTCACCTACACATTATTGGATTGGAATCAAGACATAAAATAAAGTTCAATTATTCACCAACAGACATGCATTGACTACATATGTTTAGATATTGTCCATTTAATACTACAAAATATTGCATTTGTTTTCTAAGTCATATATGCTTTGCATTAATTATTGAATTTTTAATTAGTCTTTAGTAACTACATAATATAACGTGGGAAGAAACCACTCATATCTCCTATACTTCTCAAGTATTTGAACTATGTATAAAAATTAGTTTGTTATCCGTACAATGCATGAATTATCTTACTTTATTAATTTACTTTTAATTATTATTCAATCAGTTATTTTTCAATTGTAATTAAAACCTTTTTTTTAAGAGATTTAGTTTGTAATGTAGCAAGTTAAAAACTACTTATCATTTAATCTAATTATTTGTTATCTATTTAATAAGGTAATCATAAATAATTTATGTGTGTAAAAAAATTTATCTTCATGATAACACATAAGATCATTTCTAATTTTATGTTATTTATTAAATAAATATATTTAAAAAATTATTAGTTATTCAAAATTTTAAAATTTAAAAGAAAGACAAAATCATATATATCTAATTATTTATGCTTGAAATTAATTTATAGTTAAAATCCAATGAAAAAAATCATATAAATTATGTTAATTATGAGGTTTTTTTTTAAAAATCACAAATTATTTTTTTAATTTCAATTTTTTTTCTTACCAAATAATCTCATACACTTTAAGTATGATAATATTATTTATCACATGAAAAATATATAATTTTATATCAATTAAATCTTCGAAAGTTAGTTAAATTAATTTAATTTATTTAACTAATTAAAATAAATTAAGAAAATACTTATTTTTAAATTCATATTCATATTTGATTAATGAATGTTTTTCAAAATTCAAGCAAAGAAAAAAAACATGCAAATGGACCGTAATTGAATATAATATTTTAACCTTACTAGGAAGTAAACTTGTTCATTAGTTGAATTATAGGTCAAATTTATGACTTTATGCATAACTTTTTAAGCATGGATTCAAAATATTATTATATTAAAAAATTATTTAATTTTTAATTTAAAATATATTTAATATTATAAAATTTTAACATTTTAATAATAAATATAAATTGAATAAGTGATTTGAATCAGACTTGAAATAGAATCTAAAATTTAAAAATGTTTACAATTGCATGCCACCAAATTCATGAACACTTCTTAATTTTTTAAATTCATATTTTGTTAAATTATATTTAAGGAAATATCAAGTGTTTACTAAATGAGATTTGATTTAAAAAATAAAAAGGAATGAAATAAAATTGGATTTCAATTTATCATAACTTTTTTATAAATAAAAAGAGTGTTATGACTTTGAAAAGGAATAAGTATAGCAGATTACAAATTTTTATACAAAATCCTAATTGATGTGCTAATTATATTACATACGTAAAATATGATTTCAAAAGTCAATTAGTTCTCATTATTTGTAATAATATTTTGATATAAATAGTAGGTTAAAATTAATGTAATCAAGCAGACTATTAATGAAATTATTTTTGCATATTGTAAGAAAGCTGAATTAAGAGAAAAAATTTATCTGATTGACTGAAGAGTCAAATATTAAAAAAAAAGTTTATAAATAGTACTTACAAAATAAAAGAAAAAAATATTTTTTGTAACTTTGCACTTTGTAATATATAAAAAAAGAAAACCAATCGAAAGAACAAAAAATTACCTAATTAAGTGAAGAGTTAAAAGTAAGGAGAAAATGTTTATAGATAGCACCTACAAAATATAAAAATATATATGTTTATGTAATTTTACATCTTGTAATATATTAAAAAAAGTCAAAATTAAAGACTATATGCTTATTATAAGTATCTAGAAAAAATAAATGCTTAAAAAAAGAATTTTTTTTCCATTAGTAATCTAACTTCGAAATTTGAATATTTTTGAAATATTTGAGAAAGATTAAAAGATTAATAATAGAAAATTCCAGTTAACTTTGTAATATCTTGATTGTATTATTGCTCCCTTTCCATCAAAAGAGATAAGAGCCGGTGAATCAGAAACGATTAATTAAGAAAGAATAAGAAAAAAGTTTTTATAACTTCCACGTTTTAATATAAAAAGAAAATGAGGTAACACAAAAATGGAGAACAGTGACAAAAAATAATCAAATTGATATTAAAGAATGATATTAAACAATCATGTATAAATTATTAAGAGATTAAATTTGATCTTTTTAAATAATAAAAGATTATCATGAAATCTATTAAGATAAAATTATATTTAATATTTTTAAAATTTAAGATATATATAATTAATTTTAAAAAACAAAAATTTATATTATTGTCCTGATTGAAAATGGTAGATAAAGTTTTTTATATTCCACAAGCAAACTTTACAATTATTAATACTATAATTTTAATAGTAAAGGCAACAAAAATATAATAATTCCAAAATGTAACACTAATTATAGATCAAGAACAATTGTGTTTTTTCACTCGCTATTTTGTCATTTAGGACTAATCTCATATTTAGACCCATACATATAACTAATTATTAGAAAATTAATTTTAAAAATAAAAAGATATATTTAAAGGTGTATTTGACAAATAAAGATGATTTTTTTAGTAAAAAGAAAAACTTTGGATAATTTAAAATTTTCAAATAAATATATCTTAAAAAGATTTGGATAACCAATACTTTTTTAAATAAATTTATTTAATCCATAAATAAAATATAAGAATTAATTTTATTTATTTAAATAAAATCTTGCCAAAATAAAAAATAATAATTTTATCCCTTTAATTATTTTATATCTAAATAGATTTTTCATTTAAATTTTAAAAGTTTTGGATAACTAAATAAATTTTGAAATTTATTTTTTGATAAAAAGTCTAAAATTAAAAAAATATCTTATATATAATTATAAAGAAAAATTTTAATAATTTTATGAAGTTTCAAAAAGAAAAACTATCCATATAAGCATCCACATCAGTAAATTTTATCTGATAATTATGTATAATATAATATAATATAATATATATATTAGATTTGAAAAAAAGAACTAAATATAAAAGACATTTTTAATAGAATATTTTTTATTTAAATATTTCTATAAAATATATATGACAAAAGTGAGCCAAATTTAATATAGTAATTATGCAAAAGGTTAATAGACCAACGAAAGGAGACAACAACGGCTGATGATCCAATGGTCTCCATTGTGTGTTTCACCTTTGCCATCAAATTTCTTCTCTTCCCTTCTCTTCTTCTTCTTCTTATCTCGAAACACTTGCACTCTGCCAATTCCCTATAAAAGCCTTCCAAACTTAACTCTCTGTTGCACCAAAACTTCTCTTCTAATTTGTTTTATCCATATCCTCCCTTTGGACCCTTTTCTTTAGAAAAACCTCCCTTTTTTATAGTGATCTTTCTTTTTCGATCCTCAACAAATTTGCCTGTCCGAAATCATGGAGTTGATTCCTGGTCTTCCAAATGATATTGCCCGTGAATGTTTAGTTCGTGTCCCATACAATAAATTGTCCAATATTGCATCAACCTGTAAAGATTGGAAGGTTGAAATTCAGTTGCCACAGTTTTTTCGCCATCGAAAAGCAGCTGGGTATACTAAACATTTGATGGTGATGACCCAAACCCTAGTCAATCCGAACAGAAATTCTGGTCTGAAATGCCAGGCCATGCCGGTTTATAGGATCGTGCTTTGCGAGCCGGATGCGGGTGACTGGTGTGACCTGCCACTGGTTCCGGGGCTGTCCAATGGTTTACCGATGTTTTGTCAAGTTGTTGGAGTCGGTTCGAAACTTGTGGTGATGGGTGGTTTGGATCCAGACACTTTTGAGATCCGAAATGCTGTCTATGTTTACAATTTTGTATCAGCCACGTGGTGCCGTGGGGCTGATATGCCAGGTGTAAGGAGAATATTCTTTGGATGCGTATCGGACTTGGATCGGAAGGTGTACGTTGCCGGTGGTCATGATGGTGAGAAAAATGCTTTGAGATCAGCAACAACGTATGATGTGGTGGCTGACATGTGGATTTCCTTGCCTGACATGGGAAAAGAGCGGGATGAGTGCAAGGGAATTTTCCACCTGGGAAAATTCCATGTCATCGGAGGCTATTGTACAGATAGGCAAGGCCAATTCGAAAGCAGTGCCGAGCAATTCGACTTTACCTCGTGGCAATGGACCCCAGTGCAAGAGAACCTCTTAGGGACTAGCATGTGTCCTAGAACTTGCGTGGCAGCTGACGAAAAATTATACATGTGTCGAGGAGGTGACGTGACAACACTAGAAGGTGATACATGGAAAGCAGTAGCTGAGCTGCCAGCCGAAGTGTACAACACAGCTCATATGGACACATGGCAAGACAAGTTGTTGGTGGTTGGTTCACCAAGCTTGGGCGAGCCCCACACAGCCTACGTGTTAAATTTGAGAAATTACACATGGACAAGAATGGAAGTACAAGATGAATACTCGGGTCATGTTCAGTCAGGTTGCTATCTGGAGTTGTAAACGGGCTCAAGTGGGTTGCTTTTCTTTTTTTTTTGTTTGTCAGCAGGGTCATTCAGTCTAATGTATCTATATCGTATGAAAAACTCAGGCCTTCTTCTTCTTTTCGGGTATGTCAGGTTGACTTAAAACTTGAATTTTGATCTCTGTTTATCTGTACGCGTTAGTCAAGGTGATGATTATGCATGTCATTTTCCCTCAAAAAGAACAATTTAAATGAAGGTTAAAAAGATCGCACAAGACAGAGAAAACTCGAGAAAAAGCGAAAAGGTGTTGACGAGATGTCGGCCTTATTAAAAAGGCTATTCGTGAAAGTGAAAATCATTCGAGAATCTCAATTGGGCAAACAAAAAATTGGAAAATCTCGGACATACTCTAACAACTTGACAATGTCATTTTCGTTGGATTAATATTGAGAATAATTTACAATAAAACATTTAATATAATATATATAAATTATAAATTTATTAATTAATTTATTTTTATTAGTTTCAAATAAAAAATGTGATGAATAAATAATTTTTTAAATTTTATATTAATTAATAAATTTATAATTTAAATATTATATTAAAAACTTTTAAAATTTAAATTTAGTGTCATACATTTCATTGAAATTCAAAAATTATTTATAACATTAACCCTTTCTCTTTCTCGTTAATCTACTTCACTTACCAGGTCCATCCCTGCCGCCTACAAAAGGGGCTCAACAAGCTGAATAACCAGTGCCCCTAACAAAGCCTGGAGCACCTGTATATCTTGTCACCTCGTTTTGCCCATGAATGCAAAACTGTCGGCGCCATGGCTTGCAAGTGGCACGAGATTCAACTAAGAGCTTTAAATCAACGCATTTATGATTTACGTATCTGAATGAATATATAGCAATTACATGCAATGAAATAACTCTTAACATGTTGTGGACATCAATTTGTTCAGAAAAAAATATGAAATACATATAAATATAAAATATAAAATATAATAAAAAAATTAAAAATAATATAAAATATAAAATGAAATACAAAAAATAAAAAAAAATTGAATAAAACAAAAAAAATCGAGGATGGCAGTGGTGTCGTTCCTGGCACCACTGTAACTAGACCATACACCTCACCCTTCTGATCACTATACACTACCCTCCACCCTTCTAATTACTCATCTCGTTTATAAACTATCAAATAAGATAGAAACGAATAAAAAAGGTATGGGGCTCGTGCTTACATCCCATGTCGAGCCCCATGCCCTTCCCCTCAAACACGCATGACTGGAACTTTATAAATAGAGCTCCTAGTGAAATCAAACACAAAAAAAAAAACGGAGGGAAGGAGACGCTGCTAAAGGGCCAAAAAAATAAAAAAAAATATATCAAACAGTTCTCCCTAAAGGGAGGAACCTAGGGCCGAGCTTCCTGCACAAAAAAAAAGAGGTCAGCTTCATAAAAAAAAAGAGTCAAAATACAAAAAAAAAAGTATCACCGAAACTTTGAAAGCAGATTTAAGTAAGTGGGGACTCTTTTTGGTGAAAAAGACATCGGATCTGAACTCAAGATGTCGAGAGGAACATTTTGATGTTTTTGAAAATTTTTCGACCACCAAAGACGACGGTCGATGACCGGAGAACGACGGCGACGACGATGGTGACGACGGTCGGCAGGCCAACGTTCGGCTGAAGAAGAAAGGAAAAAAAAAAAAGGGCGTTTTTTTGCGAAAAGGAAGAAAAATGACTGAAATTTTTTTTTTTTTTGCTCTTTTATGTAAATCGTCAGAACCAAAACGATGTTGTTTCATTAAAGGCCCAAAACGACACCGTTTTAGCCCCTGAGGATTCGCGCGTCGACCAGTGACCCAACCACGGGTCTGCTCACCCGACCTGACGACCTGCTTTTCCATCACCTCGACCGATCTAATTGGACTGGAACTGAACCGCTCAGACCAAACCGAACTGACGCTGAACCGCTAAGCCACCTAGACCATGCCCAAACTAAGTCGAACCGTCGGATCGAACCGTCGAACCGAACCGTGTGTTGACCGAACCATTGACCGGTCCGATTCAGGTAAAAATTTTTTTTTTTTAAATTTTTCTTATTTTTTATATATTATTTTATTAATATTTATGCATATTAAAATTTTTATATTTGTTAGATTAAATGATGAAATATGTGGTTAAATTTTTATAATTTTGTTAATTTTTAAAATAAACTTAAAAATAAAATAAAACAACAAAAAATAAAATAATATAAAATAAATTTAATAATAATACTAAAATAATAAAAAATGAGAGAAAACGAAATTTTTATTCGACGATAAGATTCAAAAGTATTTCGAGTAGTGATGCCTATGAAATCTTTAGGTGAGAAGATTTTTTTTAAATACTACCAGCGTATTGAAGTATTTATAAAAAATTTTCAATACAGTAAAAATTTTTTTTAAATAATAAATAAAAATTGATTAATATATTAACAATATAAGTAATAAAAATGAGAAGAAAAGAAATTTAATCCAATGATGGGATTCTAAAAGTATTTCGAGTAGAGATGCTTTAAGAAATCTCTAAGTGAGAAGATTTTTTGTAAAATATTACCAACGTATTGAAATATTTATAGGAAATCTTCAATATAATTAAATTCCTTTTTCTTCAAAATTTCAATTTAACATTTAAACCTCCGAGGATGAGATTCTAAGGTATTTCGAGAAGCGATGCCTAAAAAATCTCTAGGTGAGAAAAAGTTCTTCTAATGTTACCAACGTACTAGAATATTTTAAGAATTATTTCAATAAAAAGGTTTTAATTTATTTTTCTCGAGAATAATTTTTTTTATAAAATAAAAATCAAGAAAATTATTTTTCGAACACCGAAAATTGGACTATTTCTATCAAAATCAAAGGATAACACGTTGTTAATTGGTACTATTTTTAACGGCGTTGTGGGGGTGCTAATCTTTCTCCACTCGTAACCGACTCTCGAACCTAGACTATTTTTGTAGATCGTAAAATTATCTTTTTTTAATAAATTTTAATTAATTTTAAAACTTTATTAAAAGGATATGTTTTATTAGGTGGCCAATCGCACCTAGTCAAAAAAAGATTGGTGGCGACTCCGTTATTTTTTATTTCATTTTCAAATTCGTCGGACGGACACAAAACCGTTACGACAATTTGACGACTCTACTGGGGACACCTTTTGTTTTCGAGAGTCAGGCCAAAATTAACTACTTGTTATCCTTAAATTTTGATTTAAACAGTCTTAATCAATTTCTTAGATTTTTATTTTTCATTTTCAATAAAAAAGGTAAAAAGGAAAAAATAAAAAAAAAGAACAAAACAAATCAAATCAAATAAAAAGTAAAAAAAATTCGCACACATTTCTTTTATTATGCCTCTTATGTTTTATTTTTCTGTATATATTACTCTTAATAAATTAGGATATATTTGCACACAATGGCACGATGCATCTCATACATGGCTCTATACCCGGGCTCTGTCTTTTATATGAGGAAGTAAATAAGCTATGCTCTCGTGAGGTGATAACGTCCGTAATGGCAAGCGAAATACTTTCACTCGAATTGAACCCTTTTCGTTCGTAGCCTGTAATGGGTGAGGATCGAGATGCCGTACTGGTCCAACATGGACGACAGTGAGAAACAATTTGAGAACCTTTAGACCATGTCAATCCAAACCTAGCATATAATAAGCTTAGGAAACCAGCCTTATGTAGAGCCTTGTCCATCTTCTTGTAAAAAATACCTAAGAATAAAAGTTGTGTATAATATGAAACAAAACAAAACAAACAAAAAATCTCAAAACATTAAAAAAATAAAAAAATAATTTTTTTTAAACCACATCCTCACACTAACTCAATTTTGTTTCATTTTTTTTTTGCATTAATCATATCATACAGTTTTGCATCAAGATATTTGCTCTAAGACATATTTCTCCTAAAAAGTTTTCATGGATCCTATAGAACTACAGATTTGCTCATCTTCAGTCAGTGTGCGATATGAGTTGTATAATGAAATACATATTTGGTCGGAAGAAGCTCAACAAAAAAATGAAGATTGTTTGTCTACCGATTATGTGTCTGAATTACTCGAGAAAAAGTACATTTAGATCTTACACAGAATGATTTAAAAGAGTTAGCTGCTGTCTAGGATCAGTTAAGTGAAGAAAAAAAAGAAAGCTTTTACAAAAAATATGAGCAGATTACATCCTTCATTTTAGTAATGATCGATGAACAGTTGGTCAAAGCAGCTATACAGTTTTGGGATCCATCCTATAAATGCTTCACCTTTAATTAGGAAGATTTGGTGCTAACTATCGAGGAGTATTCGATTTTGCTCGAAATAAAGCTACAATATCCAGATAAAGTATTTACCCGAAAGCCAAAATCAGGTTATCGTAAAAAGTTAGCCAAGCTTATAGGGGTTAAAGTAGAAACCATTAATTCCTTTACGAAGTCTAAAAGTGAACATCTCGACATTCGTTGAGACTTTCTTTGAAACTTCATTCAGAAGCATTTAGATGATGATCAAGGTATGGATGTGTTTACTCTAGCATTGTATGGCATGGTAATCTTTTCGAAGACTTTGGGTTACATTGAGATAACTGTGGTAGACTTTTTTGAGCAAATTAAAACTCAAGCAATTAATCCTGCTCCAACAGTCCTAGTCGAAACCATCAGGTCATTGAATTTCTATTGACGAAATGAAAAATGATGATTCATAAGATGTGCATCTCTATTATACGTATGGGTTAGAAGTCATTTCAAGTGTGGGAAAAGTGCATTTTCGAAACCATATCTTTGAAATAAGGCACCAATCGAAGAGTTTTACAAAAGTCAATGGTCAACATTAAAGACTTAGAAAGAATGGGCCCTTTTCTTACGAAGGCTTACTAAGGATGAAATCGAATGGATGACGCCTTGGATGCCTCGTATGCCCTTGTTGTATCGTGAAAAAAATAAGCCATGGATACCGTTATTAGAGCTATGGGGCATTGTAAGTTACGTTCCATTAATGGTGCAAAACAGTTTGTTCCTGCTACTCATGGCCTGGTCCAAGTAGAATTCATTTATGAGCAATCAAATCCATCAAGAACCTCGAAGCAGTTGATCCAAGCATAGAAGATAACACGAAGAATGAGGTTAGGGCCTCTCATCGTCAAAGTCACTTTTGATTATTAGATTTGGAAAACAAGGTAGCCTAGAGACATAGTACTCCCTCCTGATGATAGCTCATATCAATTAGTTAATCTTTTGGAAGAGGTGCAATTATTAAAAGTTGAACTTGTCAAGAAAGAATTAGAAGCTGAAAAAGAAGAAATAAGAAGAGAAAATTTAAGATTTCGTGAGAAAATAGGGCAATTGAAATATG